GAATATAGGGATTTAATGAACTTAATTTAAGGTACCATAATGGGTATATTTAGTGAATGATATAGTTTCCCCAAGTTCCTTGACAGCAACCCAGTTGAACTGCTTGCAACTGTGTAGGAAGCTTGCCAGCACGTTGCAAGCTGAGGCTACCTGTTCTACAAAGCTTGCCGACAGCATCCCCCTCGTTTTTCTTTGGCATGTCAGCTTCCGAAAATGGAATCCTCATGCTGCTAATTGCTTGACGTTTGCAAAGGTACATCTACTCGCCTGCACCATGTGAGCAAGGTCAATACAGTAGAGAGGCAAGGATATGGCAGACTTATTTGGGGGTTTCCCCAAAATGGGGGCCTTCTAAGGGGGGTATAGGGTTTAGGGTTTCCCTACATTAGGGGTACGTTTTCTGGGTCCCCACAACAAGGACAACAGGGTTTCCGTAAACTAGGGTTCCTTTTTGGGAGTCCCCATAATCAGGATGATAGCATTTTGGGGTCCATATTGGGGTCCCCCCTTTTGGGAAACTAACGCTAAACCCTAAACTCTAAACCCTAAATAGTAGTTTCCATTTTCTTTTCCATTATCCCTGTATAATCCCATATAATCCCCTATATAACCCCCTAAGGAGTTTAGACCCTAAACCCTAAACCCTTGAAGTTTGCCAGGTCCCAGGCTGTGGTAGTGGTCCCTTTGGTGTGGCTGCTGTGGACTACCTCCGCGGCCTGCGGCAGGCAGCCTCAGATGCTTCAACTCAGCCGTAAACCATTAAACTCGACATAAACTCCACATAGGGTTTTTGGTTTAGGGTGTAGGGTTGAGAGTACATAACCCTACAGAAGCCATATATCATCCCTATACAATTAGACTCCACACTAACCCTACATGAGCCCTGTATCATCCCTATACTGTGAAAATTGTACACTAACCCTACATAAACCCTAGACCCTAAACCCACAATAATAAACCCTAGATACTCCCTATAATCCCTACAATCCCTGTAGTTTCCATTTTCTTTTCCATTATCCCATGGACTCAAACCCTAAACCCTAAATCCAAAACCCTAAATCCTAAACCCTACATAAACCCTAAACCCCATCATCCCTAGAGCCCCTGCCAGTGAGGTGGAACCACATCGAAGCGCTACCCTCGGACAGGCAGTGGGTGGACGAGTTTGAGAAGGGCCTGGACTGGTCCCGGCCTTGCAGAGAACATGACAGGTTCTATAGGCGTTTCATGGGGTTATATAGGGGTTATATAGGGTTACATGGGTTTAGGGTTTAGGGTTTAGGGTGTTATATAGGGGTTATGATATGGGGGTTATTCAAAAATTGTAATATGGGGGTTATATAGGGATAATGGAAAAGAAAATGGAAGCTACTATAGGGGCCATAAACTGCTGATACTCAAATTCCTGCATGACCTTCATATATAGTACCACACAGTAATATACTATCTTGCCATGATGTAATCTACTAACTATAGTACCGTATTTTTTCTTACTATAGTACCATAATTCCCAAGGTATATGGTACTTAGGATAATGCAGGATGTTTGGTGTCCACTGGAATTGGCCAAATCTCCGGACAGATATGAGGTTCGACTTGCATGCCATGCGGGTGGCGTAGACTCTGCAGCGCTGCAGTGGAAAAGCAAGCCGTGGTGATGGCACAGGATCATGTAATGATATGGGTAGTTCCCAAAATTATGGGCCCCTTTTGTTTATAGATTATATTGCGGCACCTCACATTTTTGGGGTACCAAGCCCGAATTTTGGGAACTACCCATATGTAATGATGGTAAAGGGCTGAAGACATGTCCTGCCGGTGCTATAACCATTTATAATATAGTATAATACATCATAATATAGTGGTACATACTATAGTATACTATAATGTACTAAAATGTGTTATAATATAGTATTCCATATAAGGATATATAACAATATACAAGAAAAAAGCAGGTGCTTATGGCTATTACAAGGCGGGCAGCGTGCGCAGCGCCCAGATCCAAAGCCAGCCGGACACCACCTGGGCCCCTGGCATGGTGCCGGGGGCATTATAGTACATTATAGTATATTATCATACATTATGGTATATTAGAGCATATAATACTATTATATACTAGATTATACTATACTATAGTATATTATGGCATAGTATAGCATAATATATTATATTATAGTATAGTATAGTATAGTATCGTATGGTATGGTATTTAGGCCATCGCTTCTGGGCGGCGGCGGCTGCGGTATGCTCATGGTAGAGCCCTCAGTACTGGCAAACCCTTGAGGGTTTAGGGTTTAGGGCCCTAAATACTATCCCTGTATAGTAGACTCCCTTATTCCTTACCATAACCAAAATATGTACACCATCATAATGTAGTAGCTCCATTTTATTTTCCATTCTCCCTGTATACCCTCAATGTTATCCCCTATGTTGCCCCGCTTTAGGGAGTTTAGACCCTAAACCCTATAGACTCAACAGTAGTTTTCATTTCATTTCCATATCCTTAATACCCCCAACATAACCTTACATAATCCCTATAATAATCCCTATAATCCCTACATAAACCCATATAAACCCCAGGTTGCTAGTGGCATGATGGTGGAGAGAGATCCGCAGGCCTGTCTGCTTCGATTGATGCCCAAATATTATAATATAGTATATTATAGTAATAGATACTGTAGTATGGTAATATATACTTTAGTATATTATAGCAATATATATGCTATAGTACAATATAGTAATATATACTTTAACAATATAATGTTACATACGATAATATACTAAAGTATACTATAATGTGCTGGCGGAGATCATCCTTTTGCATTGACAGTCTGCATTCTTGCTGGGCACGGCCACCAGCGGTGCATTGACGGTGTGGGCACTGAGCACTTTGCTGGGAGAATTCGCGCAGTCATCAGCGAGCTATGTAAGCACCGAGGCAGGCATGCTTCCTCGTTTCCTTTCCTCACGCAAGGCTCGCTGGGCAAAAGTCCGCTGTCCCAAGTAGACCCTTATTGCTGCTTGTTACTGGCTTCCATGACAGCCCAACAACCACGCACGAAGGTGATGCCCACTGGCCTAGTCTCGCTTCTTGGGCTCATGGATGCTGCCTTACCGTCTTGTTGAGAAGTCGCAGTAAACGCCACGCCTCTTGCGCATACTTGTGCCTGTTTAAGGCTCTGGCCTACAACTGCATGCAGCTCAGAAAGTGGTGGGAGCCAGAGGCTGGCGCTGCTGCATGGAGAAGACTTTCAGATTCAGATACTGTATCCCTGATGCGTTCGAGCCTGTTTGTCTTTGCTGAAAGCCTCTCACTGAGTTGCCTCCCAGTTTCCATTTAGTTGTCTATCTTCTTGTCCATTTGATTCTCATTATCGTGGCAATCCTGCGACAGGATCTACCTTTGATTGGGAAGATGAAGGCCTAGGCCAGGACCAGACACTTTGCTGAAATCAAGAGGGTCAACACGCATGGTGCTGTTTGTCTCTGCCGAAATGTTGAGCTGCCGGGGCTCACAACCCACCTAGGGCCTTGCCCTACATGAAACCACTGAACCTACAACAACCAGACCTACCCTAGTCTTCCAAGTACACGCTACTCTTGAAGTACAATCCTATATGTCAAATGTGGCAAAACACACGCTTCCCTTTACTTGTCATTACCAGCCAACAACCGACCCAGCAGCGCAGCAAAACGCCGTTCTCAACAGTATGGGAAAGAGGACAAGCCCCGCCGGGTAGATAAGAACCAGCGCCATGGCAAGTGGGTTGGCGGGCAAAATTCGCCGCGCAACCGAGTCGGATGAGTTCGACCTGAGTGGTTACGACCAGGCACCTGTACAGCTCAACATACCATAGTAAAGCATAATATATATATATAGTATATATCAGAATGTATTATAATATATGTAGATATATTATAACATATTCTGATATACTAATGTAGACTGCATGAAGAGACAGAGACACGGAGTGTCACCAAGCATCATTTCTCTGAAAGCGTTCCGCGGGAGGCGCGCTGCAATGAGCTTGCCAAGGCGGCTTTCAGCGAGCCAATGGCTTTGAAGGCGGGTCGGTTATGCTTGAAAAAAGGATCTCAGAAAGAGGATCTCAGACGGTTTTACCCCAACATGCTATAGTAGTTTCCATTTTCTTTTCCATTATCCCAGTATAAGCCCAATATATTCCCTTTATATCCCTATATAAAGCCTAATATAATCCCTAAAATATGCTTGCTGCATGAGGAGATGGTCCGGCTCTCCTTCGTGGTCGGGGGCGGGAAGCTGGTGCGGCAGAAGTACTCGGACGACTTGCCCAAGCATTTCTGCAGCGCGCTGACCCTGATTGGCTTCCAGGAGGTCCGTTTGTTCCGGGAACGCTGCCCAGCAGCATGCTGTGATGTGCGCAGCAGGACAACAGCGCCACCGTAGAGCAGGGATCGGCTGGAAAGTTCAAGTTCCACCACGACACCAACAAAAATCTGAAATTCGTTCACGTATTCCCAAAGCTGTCTGCAGAGGCCTGACTTGTGCCCTAATCAGCCTGGACGCCTTATCATGTAATATATTGTACTATAGTCTATACTTACATATTATAGTATTATAGTATTTTATAGAAAATAAAATGATCATGTAAGAAATTATACTGTACTATATAGTATATTATAGTATATAATCAGTCTTTGCTTGGCAGGTGCGCACCGAAGCAGCAGGAGAGGAGGAGGCTGCAGAAGAGCCAGCCGCAACTCCTGCGGAGCTCCTGCTCCGGAGTGCCTTGCCTCTGATTATATGCAATAATATACTATAGTACAGTATTTATATATTACATCATCATATCATATACTATAAAGTACTATAATACTATAATATATAAGTATAGACTATAGTATAATATATGCGCACAAAGTTTTGAAGAAGACCCTGCCAAGGCGACGACGCGGAGTTTCTCCGCCTTGTCCAGGCGCAGGTAGACGGGAGCTCAGGGTGAGACCACAGTGATCACTATATGTGAGCTATAATCTAAACTCCTTAAAGGGTGTTATATGGGTGGTTGTCAAAATTATGGTCCCTTTTTGGGTACCCTAAATATTATGTGCCGTATTATAATAGGGATCCAAAAAGGGACCATAATTTTGACAACCACCCATATAGGGGATTATATAGGGGACTACTGTAGGGTTTATTAAGGGGGATACTAGGAGTTTAGACTAGCTCATGTAACAATGTCCAGTGCATTGTATGAAAGCATTGAGTCTTCGCGGCATCAAGGTCACATATGGGGAGAAGAAGAAGCTGCTGGAGATCCTCAAGCAGCCGGCAGCTCAGAAGGAATCATAGCCCTGGCCAGGGCTTTAGTCCCCCTTAAGTAGATAGAATATGGGGCATACAGGGTTCTTATATACCCAAAGCCACATTCTATCTACTTAAGGGCGACTATACACTGAAACCAAAGTCTCTTTCAGTCATGTGGTGTCCCGAGCCATTTCTGTCCACGCGCCGCCCGGCGTATGACTGACTGACTGACTGAAAGTCTCTTCCAGGCGCATCTCCGACTTGGAGGCGCTGGGACACTATTCTGCTCCTATGTTGTTTCGCATTGACGAAGGAGATTACATCCCTTTGAGTTGCCGATGTGGAGGTAAGGGGCCGCAAGCCGGGAAAGTGAGAAATTGCAGTTCCCCAAACCAGGCGACGTCAATATAGGTCGCAAAATGCAGTCATCCTAATTATGGGGACCCCCGAAAAGGAACCTTCGGTTTGGGAAACCACCAAATAAGAAATGGTCTGACGTAGGCTCAGGACCACAGCCTTGCCAGGTCCAGAGGGCAGGTTGTCACCACTGCTGGCCTCAGCAGACATAAATTCCCAGAGCGAGGGTAGCACAACTTGAGAGCTCAACTGTCCCAGACCCCTGGGCGGATCTAGAAAGTAGAACCTCCTTAAGGGATTCTAGAAATTTACCCAATAGTAGTATAGGGTACCATATTGGGGGCTCTACCTTCTAGATGGGTGGTGGTCAAAATTATGATCCCTTTTTGGATCCCTATTACAATACGGCACCTGATATTTAGGGTACCCAAAAAGGAAGCATAATTTTGACAACCACCCAGATCCCTTCAAGGGGTCTGGGGTTGAGGCCATCGAGGCGAAGATGGCCCGCCTGGAGCGTGTCGAGGCCTCTGAGGAAGCGCTCTTCAACGACGTTGGGGCAGAGGCAGCTCGGCGCAAGGAGGGAGTCGCTCCCCTGTCCCCGTCTTCGTCTCTTTGTGTGTGTGTGTGTGTCTGTTTGCAACGAGGAATCACAGTCGGGCAGCGCGTGTTTCTGTATGAATTAGTTCTTAGTTTCCAGCAGTTCTAGAGTGCGGAGGTTGCCCCAAGAAATCAGGCACTCATAGCATTCGCCACCTTTCCACAAAGACCCTGGCCGAGTGGCAAGTGGTCACTCTAGTTGGTTTCAGCAGCTGCCTGTTCACGTGAGCTCAGCTGTCAAAGGAGCTCAAGGAAAAAAAGAAAGTGGTGGAGGGTGAGATGAAAGCCATGGTGGATGCCGGACGTCTTACCGCAGCAGAGAAAGCAGACTTCCTTGCCGCTTGGTGCGATTTCCAAAGCTAGTCCGGCAGGTTGGTTGTGTGAGTGGACATGAGCCAGTCCATGCTTCAATCCCTATAGTAACATATAGTAGCTACTTATGACTTGTAATTGCTTATGGGTTTAGGGTTTAGGGTGGTAGCTACTTTAGAACTGGGGTTGTAAAATGGGATGGAAATCCAGTCTGCTTGGCTGCGCACCTAATCCGAGTGCCATGCAACACAGGAGCAATTGGAAGGGAAGGTTTCTCAAGCCAACGCAGAGATTCAGAAAGCGCAGCAAGATGGGAAAGCTAAGAAGGTGCAGGCAAGGACTGTTCACCGGACGTTGGCAGCAAATCGAGTCTTCCGCGATGTGCAGGCCCTCCAGCAGCAGCTAGAGATCCTGCAAAACACGAAGGCTGCAGTCAAAGAAGCTGAACCAGCCCCACTGCCGCCTTTGAAGCATGGTGCCAAAATTCGAGAGCTGCGCTTGAACCTGGGACTTACAAGGATCGCCAGCAGCATGTGCCGCAAGTAGTCAAGGGATGCTCCTGCACCCAAGGAAGCTCGCACAGCTCGCGCAGATTGAGAAGGCTGAGCTCAGAAGAACTGTGGTTGATAGAATTGTTGCCTGCTCTTGCCAGTTGCTTGCGAGGTGTCGAAAGGCTGGTTCTGCACAGTGGTGCAATTCAGTCCGCCAGCTGTTGTTGGGATCTCGTTTTGAGCCAGGGCACTACTCCATGGACGAGCTGAAGAGGCTGATCAGTACAGCGATTACAGTGTTAGACTAATCTGCTGGACATACTATAATATGCCACAATATACTATGATATACTATAATGTATTTTCATATAGTATTATATACTATTGGGAGCCCTGGGTCAGGCTTGGCGAGCGGCCAGAGATTGAGGAGGCCGTGACAGAACTCGAAAGGCGCGCCAAAGGATGGCTGGAAAGCGACGAGGCCTGGAGCTGTTAGATTTTATCAGCAATAATAATAGTAGTACTCGTAATAGTAATAGTAAGAGTAATAGTAATAGTACTCGTAATAGTAATAGTAGTAGTAATAGTAATCGTAATAGAAATAAGTATTGTAATAGTAAGAGTAAGAGTAATAGTAATAGTAATAATCGTAGTCGCAGTAGAAGCAGTAGCTTAGCTTCATCCCTGCGCTCAGGTCTTCCAGGAGCGGCTTGAGGCCCAATCTGCTCCAGGGAGGGTTAGGGGCTTGCTTACTGGTTAGGGGAGACGGGAATACGTAGGCTTTAGGGTTTAGGGGTAGGGAATGAGGGAATATACTATGTAGGGATTATAGGGATTATATTCCCACTAAGAACCAGTCAGTGTAGGGTTCAGCAGTAACAAAGGAGGAGTTAAACCATGCTATAAAACGCTGGCATTGTCTTACTGCACTAAACTACCATAGGTCTCAGTGTATCGGATACTTGGGGTCATGGAGGATTTTAATATCAGTGGAACAAGCCAATTAATTGTACTGGCAGCAATAGCAACATCAACGATACTGCTCATCACGCAAGGCAGCTGAACATGATTTTCCCACGAAGTTGGCTTGAATAACGAATTCATACCAGACAGTCAATGGGAGCTGTTCCAAACATGACTTCTACTCGCCTTTCGACTCTACAATCCCCGCATACCTCCAAGACCCTAGGCATACCCGGCTTTCAGCAACGCCCGAAACGAGAATCCTAACCCCTACATGTACATGTCTCTATGTATCCTTAGAAAGCCTGATGTGCCCTTCTCTGCGCAACTGGGATCTTCGCTGCGAGGCGAACCTTCGCGTCGGTCTCAAGAAGGGTACCGGCCGCGGTAGCGGGGGCGGAGGGTGCCTAGACTCATCCAGAGGTTTCCAAACAATTCGGGTCCCTTTTCTTGGCTGAATATTGGTGGATCATTTTTTTGTTGGCCTCTTTTTTTGGGAAGTTTCCATCCCATGTTCCATGTTGCGGAAGTCGTGCCTAAACCCTAAATAGTAGTTTCCATTTTCTTTTCCATTTTCCTTATATAAACCCCTACACAAACCCTAAACCCGAAAAATCCCTAAACCCTAAAACCCTAAACACTGACAGTGGTTGTACCAAAAAACGCTGACAGGTACACCGCAGTTAGCTCAGGGGCACGTCCGGCCAAAGCAAAGGCATCTGGCCCAGCTGTGCGCAATGGCTTCAGCGCTCTGGCTTGAGCCAGAGACTGCTTCTTGGTAGTTAGTAGGGTTTAGGGTTTTAGGGTTTTAGGGTTTTAGGGTTTAGTGTCTTAGGGTTTAGGGTTCTAGGGTTCTAGGGTTTTAGGGTTTATAGGGTTTAGGGAAGGAATGGGGCTTAGGGCCTAGGGAGTATGATTGGGGACTACATAGGGGACTTCACGTAGAGAGTTCCATTCCTCCACTACCCTACCTACCTACAGAAAGACTCCCCATTCTAGTCCTGGTGCCGTGCGCCCATCCTGGGCCAATATGAGCTACAGTCTAAACTCCTAGTATCCCCCTTAATAATGGAGAATCAAATGGAAAAGAAAATGGAAAATGAAATGGAAACTGCTATATAGGGTTATGTAGGGGATTATGGGGGTTATAGTCT